CAGATCGAACCCCAAAAATGTATTTTTGAATAGAGTTGTGCTATTGAAAGTGATCAAAAAAAAAGTTGGGTTCCTGGTAAAATGCTCCACTGTGGTCCCTGTGCAAGCAAATAGGCCACTGGCTAACCTAGCTATTGGGACCATGTGTTTTTTTCCATATTACAAGGACTAAGTTGCTCAAAATCACCACCAAATGGCTTCCCGGCCAGATCGAGCACCAAAAAACATCATTTCTGAATAGAGCCGTGCTATTGAAATTGATCCGAAAAAAAAAAAAGCTATGAAAATCAAATTTTGGGTTTCTGGCAAAATGCTCTATGTGGTCCCTGGTGCCAACAGATAGGCCACTGGCTAACCTAGCTATTGGGAACATGTGTTTTCATTTTACAAGGACTAAGTTGCTCAAAATCACCATTGTCATCATGTTGTTCTCCATCGCACATATAACATAGAATTATCAAAAGGAGGACGCAACTAACCTGGCTATTATTGGGATATGGGATATGGCCATTTTACACAACACTAACCTGGGAAAATCTATCGTTATACGCGGGGTTTTGTCGCTACGTTTGTTTACCAGAGTGTAACCATTTGGCATATATACCTTATCAACCACATCAGATCCAATGCGATCTCACTCGCGTCGTTGATGGTTGAAACCGCGATCTTCTTTGTTGAACGTCGATCATGCTTACAACTGCTGCATGTATTGTCCAACATTGACACGACTCCTTGAACCGGTTTGTCATTTGTCGACGAACTGTCGTGAGAATGATGTCGACAATCTGACCCTGTAGGTTTGTGTAACTCTCGTTTCACGACCTTCACACTTTCCATGATCATGATTCCGATCACACTTCTTGTGTAAACTGAACTTGATCCCCCATGATACGATCCTCCACGGCTTCTTAATAGGAACACGTTGATCACCGAACTGAGTTGTAAGACCATACATGCAACCATCGAAGTCATGGATATAGGAATCGGTGCCGTTGATCATGAGGTTCATCCTTTCATCATGCCAGTAGTCGCATCCTCTAGGTAATTCTAGAAGAGCCATAGCATCTAACTCGATCACTCTGAGCAAACATGTTGAAAACTCTTCCCATAGCTTCCAGTAGAGACGTGCTTTGGCGTGGATCATATGGGCCGTCGCATTGCTAACCCTTTTATTCAATCTGTTCCACGAAGATCCTCCCGTGCAAGGTCCAGCGAAGAAGACGCAGTCCTCGTTGCTGCGGATACATCTCCTCCACTTCGCACTCCCATATCTGGAGAGAAGGTCATCATCCTCTGTAATCAACTCCAAATGAAAAGAAGCATCCATGATTTCCCTGTATCTTTTTGTCATCAAACTTGACGGCTCGGCACACAATACCATAGTGGGTGTCGATTCGGGCAATTCTTGCATTGTAATAGTAACGTCCTTTCCCAAAAACCTTGTGTTGTCGCGGTCAGGAATAGATCTCACGAACGTATACTTCATGCTCTGCCCAATGTCACAAACCAATACCAGATTGATCAAACTGTCCGCAAATATATCCAACTCATTCTTGTTCTTGTTCTCTGCAACCATCATCTGATATGTGTGAGGGATAAATATCTTGTTGTGATGAATGATGTTCAGACCCATGGTGTTGACACAGGCCACCAGGTTATCCATAATGCAACTCGCAACCGGACGAACTTCATGATGTCTCAAAACACGTAAGATAGACTTTCCAGTCCAGAACTCATTTCGATTGTTTGACCTCTCTCCATTATTACCAGCGAGATGCCAATTGTCTTTGTCCACCCTCACATTCGACTGGAACTTCAATTGAGTTTCTCTCCAATCTTGAATCAAACGATGATCACATGGACAATCATCACAATCACTTGGTACAAACATTTCTCTCCTTGGTATATTGTGGATCCTTTCCAAAATGTGGCTCCCAATCCATCTCCATTCATCACGAACTTGAGCTTTATCACGACCACATTCTGTTGCCGATGCTACTTTCTTGATGTTCCTTCCGGACCCTTGTCCGCACGCACCGAAAGAGACGCAGTACTGCAGGGCACGGCGGTTTTTATGTCATATTTGCCAGTGTATGCAGGGTTTCGCGACACCATGGGTGGGGTGCGGTGGGGTGGGGCAGTGATGACGTTCCTTTGGACTTGATCATACGTTGGTGATGCTACGCTACGCATTGGGGTGGGGTGGGGTGGGACAGTGCTGCATGCTTTAGCCTTTTACAGAAAAGAAAGGATGAGTCGAATAGGGTGCGAACCGAAAAAAAATCGGAGACTTGAGCCAGGACAAAGACTGGCTGAAGGTGTGACGCAAAAACGAAATAAAAGACAAATGCTCTATTAACCTGTATTGACAAGCATGGGCACATGAAATCTTCAAGTTGGATTCCAGAATCAAATCTGTACACAAAACATTTATATATACATATATTTAAATATGTTTGTATCTGTATATATAAATATATATATATAGATATATGGATACGTATGCATATAGATATATTGACGTCGTTACATGCAGAGATTTCAAAATCTTTGCTGAAAATCGAATTGAATTTGCGCACGAATTGAATTCGCGCGCGAACAGCGGTCCGAAACGTTGATGTTTCTTCTATATTTCGGTGGTTCCTTCTGCTTCAACAACTCCATAAACGATTTGTTGAATGTCTTGGGGTCTGTGAACTGTTTCGAATCCTCCATGCCTCTCCCCCCATGAACAAGGCGTACCAGGGCATTGATCACCCCAATGGTCATGGGATTCCCATCATATAGTGAATAAGGAATCTGATGACGTTGAGCTTGTTCAAAGAGTATTTCAGTACTGAATGTGAGGCTCGGATGACTCAGTTCCGACGTCGACGTACGTGGGAACCCAGTGGACGTGCGTCCAATGGAACTGGCCGCCACGGACTCGCTTATATGGGCAGTGAGACAACCGGAGCGGAAGTGGGATGATGGTATTGGAAACATGCCCGTTCAATCCATATGTCAAACCGTGATTGTTGTAACAATGGTGGAACACGATCTTCAACTTGTTCCCACTTCCCGTGGACAAAGATCCAGGTGCTCCGTAGGCAATCTGCAGGAAGCTTGACACCAGCCGGCCTTGTTCTGAACAAAGTAGGAGTCTTGACCACAAATATTGGATCCATACCAGGGAATTCTTGAAGCTTTTCTCGACTTGAAAGACCCTTACGATACACCTGTTTCAGTGTACGGAAAATTGGGGACTCATCTGTCCTTGATTGGAAAACTTGCCGAACTGTAGTGTCAACATCCGTAGTAGGCTGCACTAAGTCTGCCAATTGCTTCGAACCAAGGTCTTCGGGGTCCAAAAGGTTAATTAACATGCATGCCTTTTTCCATGCTAGTGGATTTGTAAATCCCTTCGTGTGGATGTCCGCGGCCATCTTCGCTGTGATCTCGTACATGAGAACGAAGTGGTCTTTGCTGAAATGCTCATGTAAAGACGTAATAGAAATTCCATGAGTCCTTTCCAGATGCCGCATTGTTGGATTCCTTCCAGAACGAACCACACCAATCATCCCTTGATTGTCATCATGAAAAAACAACTTTGGAGATGAGTCTGTCAACTTTTCTCAAATGCTGAGTGCAGGAAGACCCATTGTTCGAAGGGTTACATCAGCGGCTACGATCTCAGCCTCAGGTGTACTTAGAATGGCTCACACACCCCTGGCGTTTGCTCCCACCAGCAAGTGGAAACTGAGTACGTTTCCCCTGAATATGCATATGAGAACCTGAAGTGGACTTCAATGACTGTGCACATCCGGCAAAATCAGCATCTGCATACAACGCAATGGATAAGTCTTTAATGTCATTGCCGGCCCATCCAATCATTCTCTTCCCTAAGGTAGAGTTGACATAGCACATGAGATGGTATAACTTTGCATCATCTTGAATGGACCATTTTGTCACATTTTCGTGCTAATGTATTCATTGACCTTAACAAGTCAAAACGGGCGATCCTTGCTGCATACAAAAGCTTCATCAGGATGCTAGCAGCATGAGGAGCAAGTGCACCTCGTTGGACTTCAACGGATTCCGGCCGAGAATCAGAGGCATCGGGCTGTAAGGCAACCGACGATTCAGGATCAAATTTTGTTGAACACCAGGGACACCCAACTGCATGTTTGGGGCCACCAGGCGCTGGAGCACGTGCTTTATGTTGTTTCGTCTCTTCAGGGAGACTAGGGGTTGAAACCTGTTTCAACTTAGTATCTTTCCCCACAAGTTCAAGATACTTTTCAACAGAGAGCTTTAATAGACCCTCCATATTGTAGGTCATGGTAGTGACCTCTGTGCCATCATGCAGGCGATTGGTTCCTTTGCTAAGCAAACAACCAAGATAGAGACCCAAATCAGTCTCTGGTTCAATTCTCAGCTTGGACCTCAGTAACTCCCACCCTTTGGTGAGGTTCTGTGATGGTCCTGTCAACTTTAAATCTTCGACAAAAATAACCAACAGTAGATTTTACTTACTGTGAAAATACATTGAGGGCCATTCTTCTCCCACTGGCATGAACCCAACTTCTCGAACTAGTGTCACCATGCTGTTCCCACATCGTGCCCGCATCAGGACGACCATCAAGTGCTTTGACAAGTCGCACTACCGGCCTTCTGAACTTCCGGAAATCGATGTCATCGGGCCATGCATCTTCGGGGAGTTCAACCCAACAAGGAGGTCCCGTGAGCCTCGCTTGAATATATGCCTGAATGGCATCCGCCAGCATCACATTGTGCCCAGGAATGCAACTATAAAGAAGTCTGCCCATCGGGAGGCCTCGTTCTCCTAGGGCTCCCCTTCCGCCACTGGTAGTTCTTCTCGACACAAATGCTGTGAACTCGTGCCATATGGACTTCTTTACCTTCTCGTTTGGCTTCTGCCACAACGTGATCATATTCACGAACTACTGAGAAATCATAAACACCCTGCTTATGCTGTCCCAACCACTCGACAGTGATGGTCACCACGCATGGGGTTGGTGCAGCCATTCTTTTTTCTTGGCTGGTGGCTCTGGATCCTGCTGGTCAAACAAATGGTTGTTTCCATGGTCATCTGGATCTTCACTTTGGACTTTCTTGATCTCTTGGTTCCTGGCTTCAATGAATTGCCCCAATGGCTCCAGCTGTGACAAACTGGCATTCCTCTTTGGCGGTTCCCCATAGAGAAGGCAAACAATTGGCTGGGATGTTGGTCTCAATTTGAGATACTTCTGGCCTTCGCTATGTGGGATGAGCACTGGCTTCTCCTCTTGGTACTGAATTTCCATGGCTTCCTTGACGGAGACCATGGCTGGAACAGTTGTATAGGATGGCAGGAGCTTGGCACACCAATTGGTTGAACAACTTGGCTGTCTCAAAGCAATGGAAAAAAGGCAATGCATGGCATGGGCAGCCAATAGGCTTTTGATTTATATGCCATAGTGTTGCCCCTATGTATTTCATTGTTGTGTGAAAGAAAAAACAGAAAACATTCTGTTAAAATCAAAATTTGCTACCAAACTCAAATAACATTTCCACATAAATCAATTATATATATCATGGATTTTCCCAATTTGCTTTTCATTGTGCTTCAAAGTTTGTTGCAGTCTAGGTCAAAAGTTTACTTTATCCAAACCATATTTTTTGATATAGCTAACTCTGCTAACTTTGCTCAATATTTAGTGAAGTTCAGTTGAGTTAGCTAAATAAATATTTAAGTTGCTAACTGATGTTAACTTAACAAAACACTTATACTTAGTCATACATACGTAGTTAAATCATAGTTAACACATAGTTAACACATAGCATAGTTAAAACATGGCTAGAAGTAGTTGTTAACAATGATTAACTAACATAACTTCCATAACTAGTTGTAACAAAACCAGGATTTCAAGTACCAAAATGTGCCAGAGCCATCTTCCTCATCCACGAATCGCTACCGCGGTCAAGGATATTATCAACAACCTTATTGGAGAAATAATCCACGAACCAGTATGGTGGAATATGCACCGGGATATCATGTCCCTGCAGATCGTTGGATGCAACGACAAGATGGCTCTTGGAATGATCTCATTCCTCAAACACCAGATCAGAGCATCTTTTTCCACCAACCTTCCGCAATTAGACGCCAAAATGAGATGTACCTTTTGGGATACACATCTCAATGGGCTTGTAATTTTTTCTGACTTCGCGAGCCGAATTACGGCCTGACAGCAGATCCATTTTTGTCTTCCGACACCTACGTTCCACAGCAGAGCATAAGCTGAGCGCTTCTTGTGCAAAAAGCCAACTGCATGTTTCGACACGAAGACAATTTGTGTCTGTTTGTAAACCATTTTTGGGGACGTGTCTACACAATGCATGCATGACACTTTGCATGTAGTACATGACATGTTCACTTAATTCATTCTATCCACTGCGCCACTCCGTGGCTCAAGACTTGCTTGCATACCGCAGCAAAAAGGTGTAGCTTGCCGCCGCGCTGACCACAAGTGTTCTAGTGTAGATCCAGGGCTCCCTCAATACTGGGATTGCTACCTCAACCCCCACCACAAAAATAATCTCACGGTCATTCGTCGACAATGTTGTGAAACGTTTCAAACATCTTGCAACGTGCCACTATCTTGCAACGTGCCAACTATCTTGCAACGTGACAACATCTTCTGAACGTGCCATCATTTACAAGTTACAGGAAAAATTCGGAGCATAGCTTCAAGACCGGCTCAAAAAGTGCCTGGGAAAGTTCAGAGCAGAGCATCAAGAGCATGTCACAAGCTGCATGCAAGAGAAAGTTCACAGTAGCATGAAGAAGTGTTACGAGCGCGTTGTTAACCCCAATAGATCAGGTTTGGCAATTTCCTGCCGAAAAGGTAATTCCTTATCTTACACAAAAAATCTATTAGTTGTTTTTTTTCCTTACCTAAATTAGTTGATTTTTCTTGCCTTAACTAACTTTTTACCTAACGTTCAGCGAAAGTTTGCACGCAAACTTTCAACCCCGCCTGGCAAGTTTGCATGCAAACTTTCAACCTCTCCTCGCAAGTTTGCAGGCAAACTTTCACCCCCCCTCGCAAATCTGAGTGTACACTTGCACCACCATTTGCCTGCAAATGCTTGCGTGCGTGTCCAAGGGCGCAAGTTTGCATGCAAACTTTCAGCCCCGCCTCACAAGTTTGCACGCAAACTTTCAACCCCACGTGCCGAATTACCTTAAAATTAGGTTCCAATTTTACCTTAAGAATTACCTAGTTAGGTTGGAAATAAGGAATTAAGTATTAGGCAGGAAATTGCCTAACCTGATCTTTTGGGACAGTTACCTGCCCAATCACACGCTCCATCGTCAATATGCATACGTGCGTCAGACAAAAGTTGCCCAGCCCCTACCCCCCATCCCACCTCCCCCCACCTCTCCCCACCTCACCCCCACCCTCCCACCCGAAAAACAATCACACGATATCACACGGTCATTCGTCGACAATGTTGTGAAACGTTTCAAGCATCTTGCAACGTGCCAAGCATCTTGCAACCTGCCAACTATCTTGCAAAGTCACAACATCTTTTGAACGTGCCATCATTTACAAGTTGCAAGAGAAAATTTGGAGCATAGTGTCTAATAGTGTCAAGACCGGCTCAAAAACTAACTTGAAAAAGTTCAGAGCGGAGCATCAAGGGCGTGTCACAAGCTGCAAGAGAAAGCATCACGAGGTGCTACGAGTGCGTTGTTGACAGTTACCTTCCCAAATCACACGGTCATTCGTCAATGTGCCTACGTGCGCCGGACAAAAGTTTCATGTGCTCATATCCTTTCATGTCCTCTCACGGCCCCCCTCATTTCATTTCGTTTCTTTTCATGTCCTGCGTGCGTCCTGGTTGTCTGACTCGCGACCTGGTTGGTTGACTCGCGACATGGTTGGCTGACTTGTGACCTGTTGGCTGACTCGCGACCAGTTGTCTGACTCGCGACCTGGTTGGCTGACTTGTGACCTGGTTGGCTGACTCGTGACCTGGCTGGCTGGCTGGCTCGCGACCGGTTGTCCGACTCGCGACCTGGTTGTCCTGGTTGTCTGACTGCGAGTTTGCGTACCATGATTGCTGTGTGCAAGTGCAACGGAACGTTATTGCACCCACTCCACCCCATCCCACCCACACAAACAACATGAAGTTTGGGCAACCCCCCCGTCTACGCAACATGTTGTAACACCTGGGAGCAATTTTCCTGCACACTATTGAAGTCTGTTGTGGAGCATTAGAATTCCTCGAGTGGCAAATTGCAAAGCTGTAGGACAAACAATGTAGCCTCCAGGACCAAGTGATCAAGCATGCCATAATTCAGCCGTTGTACCCTTTTGCCAAGTTCTGATTGCGGAGACTTGGGGTGTAGTTCCGTCAAATGGCCTGTTTCAAAATCAATATCATAATTATCATTCTGCAACGCTCATTAGTGCTGAATATGTGCTGAATTAGTTCTGTTGCATTAAAAATTGACCCCAATTGACCCGATGTCATCCAACTCGTTCGACTAGTTATGACTGATTCAATATATTCAATCAATAAAGTTTCGGAACAAACTTCATCAAAATTCAAACTGCTTACGGAGGGGCCCAGCCATGCAATCGAGGGTAATGGAGAAATATGGAGCATTAATTGCAGCCATGGCACCTGGGTCTTGGGCGTCCTGGGCAATGTGAATTTCAAAGAAATGCAGGTAGCATCAAGGGGCCCATGGCTGGCCCATGGTTGCCGTATGCTTCTGAGAGGCTTGTTCAGTATCTGCATGAGTGTACCACAACCATAACTGGGAACCATGTGAATCATTACTGTACTCTTTTTCAGTAAAAAAACTTGGAGATCCCCCATCTTTAGGACAAACGCACATGGATGGTTCTCTTTCATACTCTTCCCTCTTCCAGAGATTCTGTGGATAGCCGCGACAGACTGACCCGCACTCTTCACATGAATCCGATCTGATTTGATGGATGATCTGCCAGGCTACGAAGATCTTGACAGGAAAGCTGTCGCCAAGGACACTGCATACTATGAAAATCTGAGTATTTACAATGCGCAGTTTTCCTACTGGCGGGGACCCAGTCGTATTTCAAAGAGGTCAAGACACGCGCTTCAACAACTCTGATCTGCATGGACCAGGAAGTGCAGAGATCACCAAAGATCACCAGGTCCCGTCATTCCAACATGTTCCAACCGTCAGCTGCCAAGCCGCGAGGAGGGCGAAATGTCAACATCCATGGTGGCCCCGCCTTCCTCAGTGGCCTCGGCGGCCGGTCGCGGCAAAAAGACTGGGTCATGGTCGGCCATGAACGCATAAACAAGGTCGATAAACAAATAATAAAAGATATATAAGGATAACAAAGGAATCTTGATAACACTTGAAGTCTTGCCCTTTTGACCTAGAAAGGATCTTTCAACATGATATTGATGTTTCAATGTGATTTGAATGGAATCTGAAAGGAGTCTTATAGAAATCTGATAAGAAATAGACTGCAATACATGAACAGGGTGTATACCTCACATAGAGTACAAGTGGTGAATCTCTTGCTCCCTTGTTGCCTTGTTCCTGTCAAAGCTACAGAAAGCTAGGGTACGGGTACGCCTGCGCTGTATGCCATTGTACCTGCGCATGCTTTTTTACTCTTCCTGATAGCCTTTCTTACTTTTTCAGGTTCTCCTCTGTCCATCTTGATGTCCATCTTGGGGTCCGTATTTCAACATTTCCGTAACCCGAAAATGTCTTGTCCTCATCCATGGCCTCCAAGCGATCTTCGAGCAGTTTGGCTCTCGCCAAAGCTTGAGCCTCTGTGAATTGTACATATCAAACATGGTTTAGCCACATCAGATGATTCAAACTGCCACACGAAGCGAAGCATAGCCATGGTTCAGCTTGTTGTCTTTTTTGTCTTATGTTTTTTGAATAAATCTTCTGGTCATTGATTGTGGACGTCGTCAAGTATGGCATCATCAACTCTCTGATATCCACTCGCGTCTTCGCATGTTGTTTTCCATTGTTTTCTAGTCTGGTTGCGAAGTTTGACGTCTCGATTTAAGAGGTTTGTGGCACTCTTACATCCTGCAAAAAGGCAAAAGATGGGTGGTTGGAAACGCACCTATTCTTATCTTTGTTTTCTGCTGATCCTTGGTCTTACCACCTGCAGCCCTTCGTCTAAGCAGCGTGTAGAATTTACTGAAATCGGCCTTATCCATACATCCTATGCAGTTTGCAGGGTCACTTTCAGACATGTCGCCGGAATAGCATCCGCATTGCTTTGGGATGCTAAAAACTTCAACTGTGCCTCTG